GGAAAATTCCAGCTGTTGTTGCCCTGGTGGCAGTAACAGCTGGAAAAGCCTGTTCGCCTTTGGCTTTTAGGCGAAAAGGTGGCGCTGAGATAAGCTGATGGAGGATGACCTCAGAGACCAGGAGGCCAAATAAATCAATGCAGTTAAGCTCAAACAGGAATGACATGTTGCCTATTCTTTGGATCATTCTGAATCTATGTAGTGAGCTGCAGACATTTATAGGTTAGTGTTTAGTTTTTCACACAAAATAAACATATTGTTCCCAACTATCAAACAAAAACTCTTCTAATTGAATTGTGTCGGCAGCTATGATAATAGTGACACACTGATACAAGGAAAGCCTAATAATATTGCTCCAGGCACACATTTAATACAGATTTATTACACATTTACATTAAATGAATCCAGTTATCTTTATGAATGTCCATCTGGGTGTTTTTCTTTTAGATTTCATATTGATACTGTAACTGTTTATTTTAAGGTGTCATTGCTGTTTCCTGGTATCCTCCCAATATGAAGGATGACAACGGGGACTCAACAGACGACATTGTGCCTTTGCTGTTTGAGGTGGCTCATAAATACCACATTAAGGTGTGTGTGTAGAGATTGCAGCAGTTGCTTGAATGAAACGTCATTATATTCCTAATGAAAGGATTTGTGATTGTGATCCCCGGTGTGTGTGTGTGTGTGTTATCTTTGTCATTATTTGTGTGTTATAGGTAGCTTTTCACATTGAGCCATACAAAGGAAGGGATGAAGTCAACATGTTCACTAATGTTAAATACATCATTGAGAAGTGAGTAGTGATTTCGTCCACAGAGTCATTCAGATGTCATCATTAATGTTATCTGCATATTTAGATTCATCTTTCTATTCCTTTGACATCTGGTTGTTTTTCCCATCCCATCCTCCACAGATACGGAGAGCACCCGGCTTTTTTCAAGTACTTGACAAACACTGGCAAACTTCTTCCGCTCTTCTATGTGTATGACTCATATCTGTTGAACTCGGAGCAGTGGGCCAAGCTGCTAAAGCACACGGAGACCAACAGCATCAGGGATACCCCGTATGACGCCATCTTCATCGCGCTGCTGGTGGAGGAGAAAGACAAGAGAGATATCCTGACAGCAGGGTTCGACGGCGTTTACACCTACTTTGCCACTAATGGTTTTTCCTACGGTTCCACGCAGCGTAACTGGGCCTCTATAAAAGCTTTCTGTGAAGATAACAACCTGATGTTCATTCCAAGTGTAGGCCCGGGATATATCGACACGAGCATTCGACCCTGGAATTTCCAAAACACTCGAAACCGCATCAATGGCAAATACTACGAAACCTCGCTGAGTGCAGCACTGGAAGCCAGGCCTGATTTTATCTCTATCACATCCTTTAACGAGTGGCACGAGGGGACTCAGATTGAAATGGCAATTCCAAAAACAAGCCAGACGGTGTATCTGGACTATCTGCCCAACAAACCATCAATCTACCTGGAAATAACTCGCAAATGGGCAGCGATATTTGGTGGTGAGAGACGAAAGTGGCAGGAATGAAAATGACTAAAAGCCATAGCAGATGTTTATTCATGGGGGTATAAACAAAATGAAAGCTAAATGGAGTTCTGCTTGCTGAACGCAGAGCAAAATGCAAATGAAGACCAACTTTATGAGAAAAGCCAAATGATTTGCAAAGCCGTAGGCAAGTGAACCACTTAATTATCCTAATTTTGGCTGCGCTGATGTATGTCGTTTTGTTGCACTTGAACGAATTATTGTGAATTTAACTGATGTCTTATTAACGCTTGTTTGCACACCCTTGTACATTTTTGCTATTCCTGGATTTTCACCAGCCGAAACAGCATAGGCATGTTTTGCAGTTCTGTGATCTGTGACTATATTAGACCCGAATAGAAATAAAGTGCACTCTGGAACGAGGCAGAGACACGAGTAAACAAAGCAGTCTGGTGGAATAAAGCTGTTGCCTCATTCTGCTTTCAACTCGGCTTCAGCCCAAAATACAGTACAAGAAAATAAAAAAAACCCCTGCAACATAGATTTTGACATTTCAAAGACATGTCAGTTTAAAATCTGAGATGAGTCATAATGATGCAAACAGCGGCGGGATGGAAGGATAGCAGTTCAGTTGTTGAAACAGATTTGTAGCTGAGGGAATGGAGGGCAAAATCAAGATTGGTTTTTATCTGTGCAGTAGATTGCCTTCTTATTTATGAGCTGTTGCCATGGTACAGTACAAGTCTAACAGATACTTCTCTTACTAGACGTGCTATCAGTGCATACAGCTGCGTGGCCACAGCTGTTTGGCTGCATCTGCACAAATCACGCATTATGTTAAAACTGCCCCCGCAGCAAAGCCATCTCTCCACTGAAAACATACAGTGGTCTTTTTATTCTTGCCTCTTAATTTTCAGCCCAGTCCTTCTTCCAGATCACTTGAACTTGTGAGAATTTTTGTTGGTGGTGTTTCGGCTTCCGCAGCCATACAGCATGTTTACCCACAGGTTTATAAGCAAGCATGGCTGTGAAAGCCATTCAGCTTCAGCTTGGATTCCTGGAGCAGTTCACAGCAAGTTTTAAGGACTGCTATAGATCACTGTCTAATTGTACAACCCAGCATCTTCTCAGTTGTACGTCCTTGGCTGGCTGCGGAACATTTGCATCCAGAATTTGCTGACTTTTATTGGAATTTATTTTTGCCTCGATCCAGGCAATTTTCCCGACGCTCCCAAATCAGAATATTACTGCAACAGCTTTCATGCTTAAAAGTTGGCAAGTTATGTGTGTGTGTGTTTGCTTTATTTTTCAATTAAATGCTTTTTACTTGTTTTTCTTAAACGGTACCTTTGGTGATTGTGGCCAAAAAAGCCAAATGAGCTTCACCTGCACACAGCACTTGTTTTCCAATTGGCTCTGGCTCATCCAGGTGTTGCTTTGCCTACTGAAGTCAAACTCAAAGATCTCGTCTTCATGTCCTCTTGCCTTGCTGTTGTGCAAGGCTGCCTTTAATCCGACGCTGTGTAAGAAAAGTTTTTTGGAGTTTGACCCATGCAAAATCGTGTTGATGCACTTCTGAAATTTAGTCGTTAATTTTGAAATGAACCCTGTGATGATGACTCCAACTGTTTTGAATTACAACATTAAACCACTAGAGCAACCCCGTAAATGATTAATTGACTGGCTAAAAGAAATCACAGGGCATGCTCAAGGTTTAATGGGGCAAACTGCATCTGTGAGCCTCTGTATAGATAATTGAACCTACTTTTTTTGTAAGTTGTTTTTGCATGTGATTTAAGAATGCGAAAAATATTAAATAAACTCGCTGAAAATTAACAGAATTGTGTTTTTGGGCCTCTGAAGGTGGCTGTGGTGCATTATCCTCGCTAACTGGCAATCAGACTTCAGCTTTTACATCACTGAAAGATTAATTTGTACAGACCAATTGAGGTGAATCCTTTTGATCCCGTGCTTCCTCTCAGCAGAGATGACTGACCTGTTTATTTAAATGAGAACCTTAAACAAACGATTAAAGTGTAATATGGTACTAAAGCGGAATCGCAGCATCCCACTCAAACTAGCGCTCCGCCACAGCCTGCAGCTGCATCCACGGTAAACAGAGCAAGGTAGCGCATGGGCAGCCAGCAGGGAATTATTCCACATCGCATCACATCCCTGAGCATACATGGCGCCCTCGCACACCGAGATATGAATTTAGTGTGCAAGCGAACGAGGTAGTCGCGATTTCCCCCTCTTTCTTTCTTTCTTCCCCCCTTTTTTTCACTTGCAGCCATCATTCTCTGCGTCGGTGTGCAGTAGCGGAGAAGATTCAGCGCACATTACTACAGTAGGTATCATCATTTTTTCGGGATCAAGACGATGGATGCGGGCTCTATTGCTGCAAACACGGCGTGCGGGCTCGATTTTTTATTCCAAACGCATCCACATCTTCCGTATGTTCCTATGTGTCTTTGAAAGTGAGGAGGAGGAAATGAGAAGAAAGCTTTATTTTGACTCACGCCTGTCGCGATGGTGAGTAAAATGCTTGGCTGAGTCTTTCTCCCCCCCCATTCTTGCATCCTATGTCTGATCTTCTACCTGATTTTAAAGGCAAATCATCTGTAGCTAATTGCAAACGCCAAAAAGAAAATGCGCAAAACAAATGTCACAAATATAGACCGCTTCTCGTTTTCCCCGGGGTGTTTGATTGTACACTGCATTTTTAAATGTTTAATGCACTAGACAGTTCACACACTGCAGGGGACATGGATGTTTTTCTCCCGTGAATGTGACTTGTATTTCAAACCTTGCCCTCATAGCTGCAAATATTATGCCCATCGCGCGCTATTATCTAGGTTCTGTTAGTCAGCACTGGAAAATATTCCAGTGTATCTTTATTATTCCCATCAACTTCAATGCAGTGTCACGCCAAAAGACAACCATTTTAAAGAGTGGCTCCACTACAGCGTCACGTTTTGAAATGACCTTCAGTGCTCGGTGGCTGGAAATTAATTCTCACCTGAGATGGAGTGTCCGTTTTCAGCCAGTGCGGAGCTCCTTCCAGAAATTATGATTTGCAATCTAAAGACAACAATTTTGGTGTACATGTGCAGCTTTAGCCTTTGCATACCCGTTACAAAACGCTGTTTGGGATTTGAGATTTCTGTGACTGATATTGCCACAGAAAATGTGTGACTGCGTTTTTTTCCTCCCCTTACTGCTCTCCAGCCACTTCAAACGTGGCCTCGCTGCAGACTACTCACCCATGCGGTGCTCTTTCTGTGTCCCAAATACATCACAATGCATTTAACAAAATCACAGCTATGCTTTTTTTTAAATGTGAATGAGCTGCAGGAGTCTCCCCTTAGTCTCATTTTGGTGGTTTAGAGATAGAAAGACATATCTAAATAAATAAATAAAACATTGTGCACCTTCTTTAAATAATCACATTGGAGACACTGGAACTTCAAAGGCCTGACCTGATCACTGCAATACAGGTCAACCTCCATCCTATGGGGTGTTTTATATAATTGACACCAGCACATCATGGCATGCATGGGATGCATCCTGTTAACCACAGAGCTTATCACTGCAGCTCACAGGAGGCATGGTTGAGTGCTGTAAGAGGATTGTCCCTACATGAAAATGTATTGATACCATAAGCCTTTAAAACGAATGGCACTCATTTGGCTCTTATCTCAATCCATCTCTGACTTGTGTGTCCGCTTGGTGCATATCTGTGTAACAAAGTCAAAGATTTGGATGAAGCATGGATGCATGTTACCCTTTCCTTTGATTTTTACTGATTCAGATATGCTTCAGGGATGCATGGAAGAAAAATCGTCTCTCAAGCTTTGATTCTGCACTTGGCATGTCAGGCTTGTGTGGCCTCTGTGCCAAATGCAGGTGTGCTGAGCCCCAGAGAGCTCTTCTATTCTTCTCAGCCTTAAGATGGCAGCATTCTCTTACAACACACAGTGGATACCCAAAATAACAACCTACATCCATGCTTAACTGGAAACTTTTAAAAGATATCTAGGACTATCTAGGACTACCTGACTATTTGTGTGAGAACTTTTGTTTTGCCTTATACACTTGTTTGTAGAGATTAAGCTAATCTCTGCATGCATGCTGGAAATACAAGCTTTCTCTGTGGCGCTATGAAGTAGCTCAGTGGGAACAGAACATAGGGAAACCCACAAAGTAATGGAGTTTGAAAGAACCACAATTGAATTAAGAACTGTACAATGCCTAGCTCAGTCATGGTGAGTGTGTGGATGCAGGTATTTGACAGTTAGCCAAGCGATGACAGATATGCTTCTTTTTTTTACAAAAAGCCATTGCTCTGGCACTTGTCATGTTAAAGATTATAGACTGACAAATACTATAGGCCTATTAAAAAGTTTTATATCAACTCTGCTAGTACTATCAGCTACTCTTTCTACAGTCTTGATACTTCTAGGAGCATTTTCAAGAGAACAGAACAGATCAAGACAGAGGAGGAATAACTAGAAAGCAAACAGTGACATGCTAGGTAGCTTAACTGGACAGTCATATCCCAAACCTCCATATGGTTCCACATGTGAAAAAAGCTATTTTCAAACCGGAAGTGCAACATGGCGAAAAGTCAAGGACATTCAGTGACTATGGGTGAAATTATCACTGCATGAAGTTAGTGGAGCCTGGGGTAAACATTTTTCAAATCCCAGGCAACTGACTGAAGTGACTACTAATAAGAATGCAGGATATCACTAATTAACATGTGATCTGGTGGTAAATATGGCAACCAGAATTTGAAACATCCGCAAGCCACCAGCTGCCAGCTTTAAAGCGACACGCAACAGGAGAATCAGTTCCAGTGTGTACACAGCTTAAGGATGACAAAGTTTCTATACTGGACACAGACAATAGTAAGATATCCAGAACAAAAGAGCATAACAGCCAAAACCCAAGTTACAACCAAAAG